GGCCCCTTGATCACGTTTCCTGATTAAGGCGCCCTCGCAGCTCCAGACGAGAGAATTCTTATAACAAATTTCTGATCAAGGAATCCTCGGCAACGGTTTCTAATGCGGATTCCCCCCCGTGGAGATTCCTCGCAACACTTCAAAGAAGAGTACTTGCGAAACTATGCGGTTCTGCCGTTTCAGAACATTCCTTTACACAGGATTTATGAGTGAAGGTTCCTCAGCAAGGATTCCCCAACAATGGTTATTCAGTGAAAGTTCCTTAGTCATGTTTGAAATGTTCAGATGCGGGGCAGCGCCTAAATATGCCAGGCAATGGCGAGAGCAGGACAACTCATAGCCTAGCTACGCCGAACACGACCCACCAATTCAAGGCAATGCCAAGCACGACCCTCTAATGCTGATAACCTCACACTAATGCCAAGCAGCGCGGTTGATCACCAAACAATTCCAAACGGCGCCAAGCGCGACCAACCAATGCCAAGCACGACCATCCAATGCCAAGCGTGTAAAACACGTGCCAGGCAATGGCAAGAGCGGGGGGGCACATCGCCAATAACCGCCGAACATGAGCAACCGATGCCAAGCGATGCCATACTCGCCCATTCGATGCCATGCACGACCAATCAGCGCCAAGCATGATCAACCAATGCCACGCAATGCCGAGCGCGATTGTTCAATGTCGCATGCGACCAAACCATGCCAGGCAATGCTAAGGTCGACCAGTCAATGCCACGCGCAAGCGCGCAATGCTGAGGAATGCCACGCACGAGTAACCTGTGCGAAGCAAAGCCGGCCACGACCATGCCATGCCAAACGCAACCAAGCAACGCCAAGCACAACCAACCAAGGCCGAGCAGGAACACTCGTTTGCAAGCAGCTCCGAGCATGACCAACGAACGTCAAGCAATGCCTCGCCCAGAAGCACTGGAGCATCGCATCGGCAGTGGAGCAGCACCGCAATGAACATGGCACCGTGCCACGGTGTTTCCACACGAGCCACCAGTCTGAAAGAATCGTTGTCAGGGCCGCCGCCAGCACTCCCCGAGGCGGCGGCGGGGCTGCGGCGATGGCGGGGCCGGGGGGGGAGGGGGTCAGGAGGGCGGGGAGGGGGGGGGGGGGGGCATCTGGGGGGCGCCTGGGGGGGGGGGAGGGGCAAACATGATTGATGGTCATGCAGACGTTGTTTGCCCCGCACACACACACACACACACACACGCACGCACACACGCACACACACGCACCACACACACGCGCACACGCAAGCGCACGCGCACACACGCACACACGCACCACACACACACACACACACACACTCACTCACACACGCACGCGCGCACACGCGCACCCGCCCCCCCCCCCCCCCCCCCTCCCGCAAGCAGCGCCGCAGGCGATAAGGGGGGGGGGGGGGGGGGGGCGTTCTGGCATCTCGCCCTTTCCTCCTCTCCGCTCCCCCCCTCCCTCTCTCTCTCTCTCTCTTCTCTCTCTCTCTCTCTCTCTCTCTCTCTCTCTCTCTCTCTCTCTCTCTCTCTCTCTCTCTCTTTCTCTCTTCTCTCTCTCTCTCTCTCTCTCTCTCTCTCTCTCTCTCTCTCTCTCTCTCTCTCTTCTCCCTCTCTCTATCTCTCTCTCTCTCTCTCTCTCTCTCTCTCTCTCTCTCTCTCTCTCTCTCCTCTCTCTCTCTCTCTCTCTCTCTTTCTCTCTCTCTCTCTCTCTCTCTCTCTCTCTCTCTCTCTCTCTCTCTCTCTCTCTCTCTCTCTCTCTCTCTCTATATATGTCTCTATTGTTTTTTTTGTTTCTCTCTCTTCTCTCTCTCTCTCTCTCCTCTCTCTCTCTCTCTATCTTTCTTTCTCTCTCTCTTTTCTCTCTCTCTCTCTCTCTCTCTCTCTCTTCTCTCTCTCTCTCTCTCTCTCTCTCTCTCTCTCTCTCTCTCTCTTTCGATCTATACCCCCCCCCCCCCCCCCCCCCCCCCCCCCCCCCCCCCCCCCCCCCCCCTCCGCGTTTGCAACGCGCACCTCGGAAGTAAATCGCGCCGCGCGGCGGCCCCCCAGACCGCCGCCCCAGAACCCCCCGTTCTCGAAAACAATACGAATTACAACACATTGGGACGGAGTCCAACTATTTCGATCCCAGCCCAAACCAACCGGGACCAATTTCATCCACTTCCCCAGGTTTAGAAAGTTGTCCAGAACGTTTCTTCAAGGTTCATTACGGATGTCTCTTGGGGGCTCTTGGAGGCTCTTGAGAAGCTCCGTTAGAGGCTCCTTAGAGGCTGCCTTAGAAGCGCCCTAACAGCTCATTGGAGGTTTCCTATGCAGCTCCTTAGAGGTTTCCTTAGAAGCTCCTTAGGGGGCTTCCTTAAAAGCTTCCTTAGGGGGCTTCCTTAGAAGCACCTTAGAAGCTCATTCGAAGCTTCCTTAGAAGCTTCCTCAGAAGCTCCTTAAAGCCTTCCTTAAAAGCTCTTAGAACCTCCTTAGGCGTCCTTAGAAGCTCTTTAGAGGCTTCCCTAGAGGCTCCATTGAGGCTTCCGCAGAGGCTCCTTAGAGGCTTCCGCAGAGGCGCCTTAGAGGCTCCCCTAGAACCGCCTTGAAAAACTCCCAAAACGCTCTTTGACAACTTCCGTAAAAGTTCCCTAAAGGCTTCCGTAGAAGCTCCTTAGAAGCTCCACGGGGGTTTCCCTAGAGACTCCTCCGAGGCTTCCTTAGAGGGTCCTTGGATTCCTGAAGGAGTCCTGCGGGTTCTTTGAATTCCGACGAATTCCTGCGGCTTTCTTCCAATTGAAGCGCTTCGTGCCCTCCAGAGCGATGGGGCTCCCCCAGGGGGGGGGGGAGGAGAGCGTGGCCGAACAATTCACTTTGCCCTCTGCCGCCGCCCCCGCTGCGCCTCCGATCGCTGTCGCTTAAAGTCTTCACTTGCACACTGTTGTTCATGCAGAAATTGTCGCATTCACAAGAAGACATGGGTGAACGAACGCTGCCGCACGACCGACCCTTTTGCCGATGTTCTGCACAGTGGCGTCGCCGATGCATCGCTGACGCCGCCGACGCACCGCCGATGCAGCTGCGGTGCGTTGCCCTTGCGACGCAATCCTCCGACGTTTTGAAAAACGTACCCCAAACAAAAATCGGAGTTTCCGTAGAATCTGAACGAAACCTGGATTACACTTCGTCGCTTCATGATCCCGTTCAGTTTGGAAGCAAGTAGCTGGCTGTGCCGCTGTAGTTGTTCTGTGGTTGTCTCCATTTTATCCCGACCTGTACGGTGGGGGCATGCTGAAGGACTGTGCCAAGGAAGCAACAGACCCTTGAGGGTTCCGTATCTTAGGATGGCAGCGGTGATATCGATGGCCAATCCACGCTTGGAGTTCCACCGTACTGTCAAGGAGATGAGGATGAGGAGAACGGCATGAGGGAGATGAGGCTGAGGATGAGGATGAGGATGAGGAGGAGGAGGAGGAGGAGGAGGAGGAGGAGGATGGAAGAAGCAGGACAAGGGGAAGGAAATAACGACCGATGACATAGATGATGCATTGCTGTGGGAGGTGTGGCTATGCCTTGCGAGTGTATGCTGTTGTGGTGGATGTATGCTGGCTTGAGATGATATGTGTTGTTGGTAGTTGTTGTTGCAAAGCAACACAGAACCCAACTCACAAACATTAAGTGGTACCAATTCAACCCGGGGCACCCATGTTGAACTCGAGAATGAATGTGCACCCTTGAGACGTTCATTTGATGTCTGGATCGTCTCGAGATGCTGTTTACCAATAATCCGATTGTAGACCCGAAGTGGCTGGTTGAAATTGGTCCCGGTTGTTTTTGTTGGCCCGTTAAGAAGTGTCCCAATCGGTCGTAATTGATCCCAGTCGGTTGGGATTGGTCCCACACGTGGGCGCCCCTCCTCCCGCCACGCACTGCGGCCCTAGTCCTGCTAGGGCGCGACTGCCCCCTCTGGTTTAGAACAACGATGGCTCCAGCTTCATATTTCCTCACAATATATGAAGAATCGCGCTGTCGCGCTGGATTTCCTCACCAATTCATCTGGGGTTCGTCCTTTCGCGCGATGCTTCCTCGCAGCCGATTGCTGCGCCGCGCCCCCAAACACTCAGGAATCACGCTCTCGCTCTGGATTTACGCACGGCTTGCTTTTGGAATCGCGGTATCGCTTGAGACGGCCTCGCGATCCATGCAGGACTGACGCTTCAGTGGCCCACCCACCCGACCCCGCCGTCTGGGCCGCCTACCCGACCCGCCCGTCAGGGCCCGCCCGCCTCCGTCTGGTTCTGTCGCTTGTCTTCCTGCTCTGAGCCCCCCTCGTGCTACTCTCTCTGTCGTGCTTCATTCCTTCTCTCTCCTCCCTTCCACTTTTTTAGGAGCTGCGCCAACTGCCAGTGGCAAGAAGGGACGATATGCCCCCAAGGGGGACATGATCGAAGACGACAAGGGCGGGTACCGAAGCTTCATGTAGAACGACGCGCGAGCAAATAAGAATGAACAAGCTTAAAATGATTGTTGTTGTTGTTGCCGTCCTCGCCCGCGACCCCTCCGCGACCCCACCCGCGACCCGCCCCGCGGCCTCCTACCTAGCACCTGCCCGCGACCCAGCCCGCGCCCGACCCCTCACCTCGCCATCGCTCGGACGTCCATTCCCGTGCATTGTTCGATGCCAAGTCATTCGTATCCGCTACTGCGGGGTGCGACAGTACATACCCATCGGTCGGATGAAGTAGGTAGAACCATGAAGTAGGAAGGCGTTGGAAGTAGATTGGGTTTCCGCCCGCCTCCTGAAGAGGAGGGAAGAGGGAAGCTCACTCGACTCTTGAAAAAGGAAGGCGGCTGAAGTAGATTGGGAACTGGGCGTCCGAAAATACCTACCTTCAACGACCGATGGGCATAGATGCGCACGCATGCGCACACATGGGACACGAAACTCCGACCTCGCAACCGTGTGCCCGAGCCACCCGCTTTCCTCCGTGCGGGGCGCGGCGCGGCGCGCGCGCGCGTCTCCCGACGAAGAGGCCGCCTTGCCTGCCCTCCAGCGTGGCGCCCCTCTCCCGGTCAGGCTCCGGGTAGATGTTGGTCAGGATCCGGACCTCTAGCGTTAGGTCGGGCGTGTCCCCCTATACAGGCGGATCTTGGACGATGGATAGAAAATTGCAGAAAATAATCCAACACGCCCAGAAAGAAATCCGCCGATCCGGCGTGTGAGTTTCTGAGAGCGTGGACTTGAGCTCGCTCAAGCTTCGCTCTGGAGGGGGGGGGGGGGGCACGTTACTTCCGACGTCATTTCCGACGTTGTTCGGTACACGGGGATATTTCCGACGTTTTTCGGTACCCGGGGACAGGGGGGTATAGAAAACTCCACTTCCGGAGCCCCGACCGCCCAAGGCAGCCCAAGAGGAAGCCAAGAGAGGCCCCAGAGGCCCCCTGGACAATGCAGGAGGGCCCCGGATCGCCGAAACATCGCTCGAACCGCCCAAGATGCCCCGAAGGCAGTTCCAGAAACCTCCAAGACGTCCCCAGGATACCTCACGACACTTCCCAAGAATGCCCAAAGACTGACAAATGGACCCATTCCCTCGGGAAAACGTATATTTTCTGCAAATTCGTTTCTTGGGCCTTCACGATGCCCAAGACGGCCCCAGAGCTCCCTAAGACACGCCAACAGGCCCCCGAAGACAGTTCCAGAAACCTCCAACACGCCCCCAAGTCTCACCCCCCCCGGGATCGGCGGCACTGGCCGGAGGCCAGCCCAATAGCAGAGAAATCGCCCCCAGACGACTTGCTTTGACCATTCTTGCGCATTCCTCCTGTCGAGGGACGTGCCCGACAGAACTCCAGCCGGCGCGAGCGGGCGAGCGAGCGCGCACCACCGGCCCCAGAGGTCGACCCCGTGCAGGGGGGCGCGTGGGGCCTCAGCCCCCCGAGCGGCGCGCGGGGCGATCCAGCGCTTCTGGCCTCAGGCCCTCGGTCGGGGGCGCGCAAGCACGGATCAGTGATCCGTGGATTCGGCGCGCGGGAGCCAAATCCATGGACGGGGGCAGGTGCCCTGCCCAGAAGAATGCGGCGGGTGCCGCCTCGTTCGGCGGCGGAAATCTAGGGCCTCCCATGGTAACGTGACCCGTCGCTCATCCACGCCCCTTGATCCATGGTCGCGATCGCCCGACTCTGGCCGAGGACCTTGCGCCGTCCTGGCCTTCTTCGGGACCCCAGGAACTTCTGGAAGCCTCCGTAGGCCTTGCGCCCCAAATACTATCGCAGCGCGACCGGGGGGGGCTCAAATGCGGGCGTCGCAAAAAAACGTCCTGACAACTGTTTCTTCGTTTTCGGCTCCTGAAGGTCGCGTCTCCTACCCAGGATGATCAAACAACAGCTCAGATGCAAAACTGGCCCCCTGGGACTGGTCGAGATCTCTGGGGGTCCACTTGGTGAACATCAGCACCGAGGCGGAGTCGCTATGGTTCGTAATTGTGACCGCTGTGGTGGTGTCTGCTCGTCCCATTACCGAGCGTGCTACAGACTTGTGCAGAATCTGACGTCGGGTGTTTAGAGGCGTGTGTGTGTGTGCGTGTATGTGTGTGTGTGTGTGCGCGTGTGCGTGTGCATGTGTGCGTGTGCGTGTGCGTGTGCATGCATGTGTGCATGTGTGCATGTGTGCATGTGCGTGTGCGTACGTGTGCGTGTACGTGTGCGTGTGCGTGTGCGTGTGCGTGTGTGTCTGGCTGCCCGCGCTGCCTGCCCCCAGCTGCAGCTCAGTGCAGCTCAGTGCAGCTCAGTGCCGGCGCTGGCCCCCCACCTTGGCGCTCGCCCGCCGCAAACGGCAGCTCTGAGTGGCTCGGCTTCCTCTACCCCTGTCGCGCCGGGGCTCTTCATCTTCCTCCGCGCATTGCGGCCTAATTTTCATACAGCGTGTCGCCTGTTGCCATTCCGCCGGAGCAGTCACCTTCAGCCCAGCTGCCGACGCAAAAAGCGTGTGCGTGTGCGTGTGCGTGTGCGTGCGTGTGTGTGTGTTGTGTGTTTGTGAGTGTGTGTGTGTATGTGGAAAAGTGTGTGTGTGTGTACGTGCGTGCGTGCGTGCGTGCGTGCGTGCGTGTGTGTGTTTGTGTGTGTGTTTGTGTGTGTGTTTGTGTGTGTGTGTTTGTGTGTGTGTTTGTGTGTGTGTTTGTGTGTGTTTGTGTGTTTGTGTGCTTGTGTGTTTGTGTGTTTGTGTGTGTGTTTGTGTGCGTGTTTGTGTGTTTGTGTGTGTGCGTGTGTATGTGTGTGCGTGGCCCGGCTTCCCCTCTCCCCGTCGCGCCGGGGCCTCCTCCTCCTTCCTCGTGCATCACGGCATTGACTTGCATACAGTGCGCCCCCCGTTGCAAGATCGCGGAGCAGTCACCCTCTGCCCAGCCGACGACGGAAAAAGTGTATGTGTGTGTATGTGTGTAAGTGTGTGTGTGTGTGTGGAGGGGGCACCCCTTTGCGTTGGGCGGCGCGGCCTTTGAGCGCGCTTTTTGTGACAACTTGGACTACTCGCGTGGGGTTCGGGCGTTGCTGACTGACTTAGGGGGCAGTAAACATGAGGGGGGCGAACGTAGTTACACTATTCGGGTACCTTTGCGGCCTTTGGGGCCTCCCCTCCTGCACCCTTCGCCCCCCTGCGACACGCCGAGGAGTGCTCCGCGGCTACCTTGCCAGAGACCGTCGCAGGCCTCGGGAGAAGTCTCAGGAGACGAGCAGCAGCTACCCAGCACGACGGTATCGAGCGCCCCTGCAAACAGAGGCGTCCGACGCTGTGACCGTCAACTATAGCGTCCCATCCGTGACCTCGCACACAGGGTGACCCCCTTTGCTGACACGTGGGGGGAGGCTGTTTGCAGGGGGATTTATACACATCCACCGCCGCTGGCCAGGCCCATCCTGGACCTGTGTACATGCCTTCCTGGCCGAGCCAGGGGGGGCGTATACAAGGCTCCCGGGCCCTGGATCGGCTTGGCCAACGGCGGTGGATATGTATGATCCAGGGTATGGGCCCCGCACCCCTCATGCTGATGCCATCAGCCCCCCCCCCTGGGCCCAGGATCGGCTTGGCCAACGGCGGTGGATATGTATGATCCAAAGTATGGACCCCATCCCCCCTCATGCTGATACCATCGCCCCCCACCCCCCCACCGCGCGATGGCCCCCCCGTGGGCGTGGCGTGGTGGGGTCTTCCCCTGTGGGCGTGCGGTGGTGTGTATGGAGTCCGGCCCTCCCCCCATCAGGGAGGAGGACGAGAAGGAGGACGACGAAAGCAGCGTCGACGTCGGCATCGGCAGATGCATCGCCGTCCTGGGCATGACGTAAAACTGCTAGACATGACGGAGGAGAGCTGCCAATCTGTGGCTGGCCTCTTCCGATGAAGTCAAGTGCGCGCTCAACCTGGCGTGCGCCCACGTCGACGCCGTCGTCGTCGTCGGTCGTCGTCGTCGTCGTCGTCGTGGTGGTCGTCGTCGTCGTTCTCCCCCCCATCCCATCTGCGGGGGGGGAGCTCGAAGGACCCTGAGACCCATCCCACCTGGGGGGGAGGGCCGTGGGCCCGGAGCCCAGGATCATGTATAGATCTCGTCGCCCTGGTTTGCACAAGCACGGAACTGTCTGTTCATCGCAGTGCCAGAAACCAGTGGACACAGGGATCTCAGCACCAACACCACACGACGCACCCGCATGGCTTGGGCGCGAGTCTGGCTTCGCAGACTCGCCATCGAGGGCCCATGCTGGATATCTTCATCCGCGTGCAGTGCATTGTCTTAACAAGCAGCACTGGCTGCGCTCTCCTCCCAATCTGCAGGATTTGCTCAGTCCGAACTGGGGGAACTATCAAGAGGGGACGACACGACCCAGAAAATACGGTCCCAAAAGCAGCGCCCGCTGCTGGTCAGACGACGCCCGTCACACAAAGCAGCCGCTCGCAGGGAAACAACCAACGCCCTGCTCGAACGTGACAAGGATTGCTGTCGGCCATCGTCCCCAGTCGCCTCGTCTCCGTCTCTCGGCGGCGCGCCCAGGGGGGGGCAAAACTACAGTAGGGGGCCGACCAGAAGAAACCTTTCACACGAAACCCAGCACTGAGACCCCAAGACGTCCATTGATTTTGGTGTGGGAACGTCACGCTTTCCATGGCAAAACAATCGAAACCCCAGAAACCCAGGGCACCCTGGAGGCAAGCAGGGAGTTTCTTGGCATGGGCCTCCACTGTATGTGGCAGTCCTCCTCAGAAGGCGGCGGGGCCTCGGAAGGCCCAGCCCCTTCTGCCTTCCCCCCTGGACCGCCGACGACGACGACGATGACGACGACGAAATCGACGACGACGACGACGACGACGGAATCGACGACGACGACGACGACGACGACGGCGTCTTCTCGGGCATCCCGGTGGGACACCGACGGCTAGGCACGCCCAAGGCAAAAAGCGCGGGGCCCGCCTTGTCGGCACCCACCATCTCGGACGCGATCGTGTACTCGTCGGTGCTGACCACTAGCACGAAGTCCGACGAGGCCCTGCAGGGGGAGGAGGCACCGAATCTAGACCGGTCTCGTTGACCCGTTCCCTCTTCGTGAAGGGAGCATGCCGTCCATCAGCGTGGCCGATCTACTGGCTACAGGGCTGCGATGCGCAAGCGACATTCAACAGTTCAAGACTGCCTTGCGGGTGCGGCCGAAATGCAATTCGTCTGGGCCGATATCCGATCACTACTGTCGGGTGCTACATAATTAATACGGTGCGCCGCGCTGGAGCAAAGTATGCAGCAGCCAGTTGCGAGAGCGAAGAATGCACGCCACCCGCAGCATGGGAAAACATAGGGGACGTCGGACCAACCCGAACATCAACTTGGTGAGCTGAGGATGCCAACGAGACCCTCTAAGAGGCCCCAAGGGATCGCCCTCAGAGGCTTCTAAGAGAACCAAGACGGCCGAAGATAGCCCGAAGAAGGCCCAACGTGGTCTCCAGAATCGCCAGACGGCTCGAGAACACCGTAAGGCGGCCAAAGAAAGCCGCAAGGTGGCCCAAAAAACCTTCAAAATGCCCCCCAAGAAGGCCCAACTGGTCCAGAAAGAGCCATCAGAGAGTACCGATGTGACCGCAGAGGGTCGCTCCCTGGTGTTCCCCCAGTGATTTTTCCAAGCGCTGCCAAAGGCGCTGCCAGTGACTCGCCACAGTTAGGCGTCTTTGATGAAGACTTGCGCTCCTGCCACTCCGAAGGCCACCCCCCTTGCCCAACCCCTTCTGCGCGCCGCCGAGATGTAGCCAAAATGAAGGCCGCCCAGATGGGGCCGAAGCAGATGGCGTCGGAGGATCGCGCCGCATCAGGCGTGCGTCGGCGACGTCAGGATGGAGAAAAAACAGGCTCCGGATCACGCCGCCTCGCCGATGCAACAGCAATGCGGCGCGATCGTCCGCCCCCATCAACTGAGGGGACACCTTCACGGGGGGGACCAACACAGGGGGGGAACATCGACCTGGAATAGGCGAGACATCCCCGATGGACCGGCGATAGGTGCCTGATCACCAATACACTCGCTCTGGGGCGGGGTGGGAGAATCGGGCCCTGGTCGGCGATCAACGGGCGTTCGGGGGTCGATGCATTCCCCCCTGAGCCGATCCCCCCCTACCGTTGCCCCTGATCTGCTCGGGCCTCGTTGGGGCGGCCTGGGCGGAGGGGAGATGGAAAGGCAAGGACCCCGCACCAGGAAGAGGACCACGATGGAAGATCCAGGGCTACTGAGGACTACGGCAAGTTCGTGTCGTGGCGACCCCAGCGTCAATTCCTGACAGTTCGCGGATCTCGGGGAACTGCTGGCCCGGGTCAATCCAGACCCGGGTCAGTCGGGCCTTACCGGATCCTGCTAAATCCTGCAGGGTCCCCTGCACCCAAGCCCGGGTCAGTGCGCCCCTGGTTCTGCAGAATCCTGCAAGATCCGGCACTCTGACTGACCCCCGAGTGCACTGACCCCCGTCTCTTGAGCCCCGACTGGCGCGCGGAGGCACCCGAAGGCCCTCCAGAGGCTCCCAAGAGGCACCACCTCATCCTCCTCCTCCCCTCCTCCGAGCATCGCCCAACGTTGAATGACGGGTGGCATGTCGATCTCGCCCGATCGTTCCATGCTGGCCGACTCTGGGCCGCTGGTTGCGCTCCACCTGGAACGCCCGCGGCGAGGTCGCCGCCGCGTCGACATTGCGATCGACGAGGGTCACGATCTAGGATCACGATCGAGAATCGATGATCACGATCGAGGATCTTTGACTGTTTTCGAGCAGTGTTAGGTTCATTGTAGGGTGCCCTGATCGACACGGCTGCGTCGCCATGTAATTCGTTTGTCAGAACGCGCACGCGTTTTTAGGGCGCGAGCCCCCAAAGACCACACATCAAAAAAAGGTGTACCCAAGTGTGGTCCTCTTGAGGCCTGCAGGAGCCTCCAGAAGCCCGAACGTGATCACAACGGACACAGGACACACGCTCATAACAAACAAACATAACGCATCCCCGTCATCCCCCTCCACCCTGTTCGTCTCCACGTCCGCCCCCAACAGCCCCTTCTCCTGCCCCTCTCTCCATTTCTGCCTCTCCCCTACCCCCTTGTCCTTGTCCTTCCACTCCCCCTCCTCTCCCTCCTCCCCCTCCTCCGCCTTCCATCGCATTACTCCCTTCCTCTCCTGGCACAGATGCCACTGGACCTCCTCATCACCTTGTCTGCGCCTGTCCGAGGTTTGCGGGCAACCACGATGTTCGCCAGGGGCGGGCGGGTGAGCGACTCTTGCTCCTCGTCGCCCGTTTTGGCCCTCCCATTCCTCCCACGGCCCCGGTCCCCTGCCCGAGCGAGCGTGGGAGAGGACATGTCTCGCGTGGGAGTGGTGCCCAACGAAAGCTTATCGGGGCGGCACGCCAGACTCAGAGGGCGTGTCGTAATCTGAGGGCAGTGCGCTCGCCGCCTCGGAAAGGTCAGAACGCGCGGCGCGCCAAGGTTCGTGCTGTCTGGTTTTCCAGGTGCGCGTGATCGCGCCGCTTTGGATGAGGATTAGTGTTGTGATGCTTGTTGGCTCGTCCGTCGCTGCCTTTCTCCTCTTTTTTCTCGGCATGCGCCAAAGAGTGTGCCGCGCGTGAAGGATGAAATCAGGTGTGATTTGTGATGCTGCTTGGCTGTCCTGTCACTGCACTGCTCTCTGTTGGTCCTCCTTGAAAGGCATTGCGAGACTGTTGCTGGCTCGGTACATCCGCTGGTTGAATGTAGCGCCCTTCCATTGGGGTTAGCAGCCGTTGTGACGGTGGTACAGTCTCAAGCCAAGTTTGCACGGGAACTACCTGTGGTTAGTTGTGGGTGTGTAGTACGACTGGGGTATTCCCACGGTATTCCTCGCCTCGCCTCTCCTCTCCTCCCCCTCCCGAGAAGAGCGGCCGGGAGGGCAATTAATGCAGCCCAGGCCACATGTAGCCCACCTGCGCGCGCGGTGCTCCCATCGCGCTAGCCGTCCCACCGCGCCCTGCACTCGCCTCCCAAGCACGAACAACGACGACATTAACAACGACGGTCGTCAACGATACCGTCAGCGTCGTCAATCTTGACAGGTGCTGAACAATGGGGGAGCCTCAGTAGGCAGGCCGCGGCCATCTGGATTCCCCTCGGATACGCCCAGACTCGAACCACGACGCAGCAACCAATGATATGACCCCTATGCTCAAATATAACAACGAAATCTTCGACATACGCCACGATCACTCCGCTCAGGCACACGAGCGAAGATGCACCAACACGGATGAATAGCAGAGTGCGTGTACACATGCAAGCGCGTTGATTGCATGCTTCTGTCGGTGCGTGAACTCGCGGCCGCGCGCGTGCGCATAGAAACGTTTATGCGCATGAGATTGTAGAGGCAGCGTAGCTTCCTCGCCTCCAGGTCCTCGCCCTCTTTGAGTAGCGACTCCAACTTGGCCTGCCACCCATTGGAATGGAAGGGCTAGTTAGACGAGCTGCAGCTGGCGCATGGAACAGCTGAAACAAAGACGGGGATTAAGTATGAGCACATATGCGAATATGTGCATGTGTGTTAGCCAGCGTGGACCACAAGCAGTAACCGATTGCACTGTAGATGTGTAAACTATGTGGTGCAAGCAATGTGTAAGCCATGAGGTCCAAAGGCTGTGACGAGGCGGCGACGGGCGGCAACATGGCGAACCCTCGCCAGCGCACAAACAGACAACGAGGCGGCAACGGGCGGCAACCTGGCGAACCCTTGTCGAACCCACCCAGCGCATGAGACGGCAACGAGGCGGCAACGGGCGGCAACGAGCGGCCACCTGGCGAAAGCTTGCCATACCCACCCAACGCACGATGCAAATCTCGCCAGCCCCACCCAGCGCACGAGGTAGTAACGAGGCGGCACGTGGCGACACCAGGCAGCAACTTGGCGAAAGCTCGTCAGGCAAAACCATTGCACGAGGAGGCAAGGAGGCAGCAACGAGGCGGCAACGGGCAGCAACATGGCGAAACCTCGCCAAACCCACCCAACGCAAGAGGCGGCAACGAGACGGCAACGTGGCGAAACCTTGTCAGACCCATCCAGTTTCTTAGTAATCCAAGTACGAAGCCCTAAATGAAAGCACAGCTTGGGGAAGACATGCGTATGTATATACGTAGCACCCCGCAATTGCGGATAAGAGTGAGGGGGCGGGCGCGGGCGAAGCGGGCGTCGTCGAGCCGGCGGACCTCGTGGCCCCCACCTTCCCTGTCGATGGCGCTGTCCTCCTCCTCCTCCTCCTCCTCCTCCTCCTCCTCCTCCTCCTCCTCTTCCTCGTCCTCGTCCTCATCGTCATCGTCATCCTACTCCTCCACCTCGTCCTCCTCCTCCTCTTCTTCCTCGTCCTCCCTCTCCCCCCCTCGTCCTTTCATCATCGTCCTCCCATTGTCGTCCTCCCCCTCATCGGCCTCCATCATCGTCCTCCCATTGTCGTCCATCATCATCATCATCATCCCCCCCCTCCTCCCCCTCCTCGTCCTCCTCCTCCCCCTCCTCCCCCTCCTCGTCCTCCTGCTCCTCCTCCTTTTCCTTCTCCACATTATCCTTACATCCTCTCTTCTTCCGCGTTCTCCTCGTCCCCTGTTTACTCCTCCTGCCTCCCCCTCCTTCCCCAAGATAACTGCAACGCAATCCTTTCTTCCACTTTATGATCCCCGCCTTCTTTGATTAAGGCAACTCGCCAGGGCAGAGTTGCTGGACGGGCTGGTGTGGATGCGCGGGGCTTGAAGAGGTCCTTGCGGGCTCAGGCGGCATGCAAAAATCCGCCGCCGCGCTTGTGCGGCATTGGTTTGTTCAGTGAACGTGGTTTAGGTCGCGGGTGGGTCGCGGGCTCTCCACCTCCACCTGGAAGGAATGCAAAAGCAGCCCGCCGCAGGCGCCAAAAAAAATGGTTTGTACACTGAACGTGGTTTGGGTCGCGGGTGGGCCGCGGGTTCTCCACCGGGAACGAATGCAAAAGATGCCCGCCGCAGGCGCCGAAAAATGTGGTTTGTACCCTGAACGTGGTCGCGGGTGGGCCGCGGGCTCTCCACCTGAAACGAATGCAAAAGATGCCCGCCGCAGGCGCCGAAAAACGTGGTTTGTACCCTGAACGTGGTTTGGGTCGCGGGTTGGTCGCGAGTTGGTCACGGGGTGGGTCGCGGGCTCTCAACCTGGAAGAAATGCAAAAAAAACCCGCCGCAGGCGCCGAAAATTGTGGTTTGTACCTTGAACGTGGTTTGGGTCGCGGGTGGGTCGCGGGGTAGGTCGCGGGTGGGTCGCGGGTGGGTCGCAGGTGGGTCGCGGGTGGGTCGCGGGGTGGGCCGCGGGCGGGTCGCGGGGTGGTTCGCGGGATGGGTCCCGGGGTGGGTCGCGGGGTGGGTCGCGGGGTGGGTCGCGGGGTGGGTCGCGGGTGGGTCGCGGGTCTCTCGCGGGTGGGTCGCGGGGTGGGTCGCGGGGTGGGTCGCGGGTGGGTCGCGGGGCGGGTTGCGGGTGGGACGACGACAACAAACAACAACAAACAACAACAACAACAACAACAACAACAACAACAATCATTTAAGACTGGGGACACTCCGTTCTCACCAGTGCCAGGGTTTTCATAGGAGGCGGGCAATACCCCCACTTTGTGGGGGGGCCGGTTCAAGCTCTACCAAATTTCCAAACGACTCTTCGCCACCACCCACACCCAGCTTCCCGCCCTATGACGTTCGGACACTTCACTTCGTGGCATGCGGACGACCGTGGCTACTATTCAGGGCCCCGCGGCCGACGACGACGGCGTGCGCGCGCGAAGAAAAAACGAATGTGTCCCACATGGTATTATTTGACAGGGATGATGGCCCTGGCAGGCGCGCAACCTTTGTTGCAGAAGTTCGAAGCACGTGAAAAAGTTGTTCGCAAGAGCCCGTTTGACAGAAATGTTGAAAAAGTATTGGGTTTCCTAAGAAATCCGCAAGAGCGCGCGGGGTGAATTTTTGAAACCCTTTTTTTGAAAAACCATTGGGTTTTTCATGTTTTTATATGAAAATCGCTACGAAGACTAAGGTTTTGGAAGGATTTCGTCTTGCGCGCGCGAATGTGCACTTCGTGTCATTTTTTGCAAGGGATTCTTGAAGTTTGGTCATGTTAGAACAAGAAATGTCCACTTTGCCTTATTTTTTGCAAGGGAAAACCGATCGTAACAACACAACCGGATCTGGACCACATCGTTTTGCCTGAGGCTTCCTCACGAAAATTATGAAAATGAGGCTGCGGCCTAGGCGCGGCGGGGGGGGCGCGCACCAGGGGCCCCAACAATAATTATTCTTTAGAATTAATAATGTTCAACAACACCAACAAACAACAAACAACAAACAACAAACAACAAACAACAAACAACAAACAACAACAACACCAACAACAACAACAACAACAAACAACACACAACACACAACAAACAACAAACAACAAACAACAAACAACAAACAACAAACAACAAACAACAAATAACAACAACAACAACAACAACAACAACAACAACGATAATCCGAACCGCGGAATTCTACTTCAGCCACGCACCCAGGGACAGTGAATGACTGGTCGGCCCCCTCACTCTGATATAAGTATATGCTCGCCCCCTGTCATCATACCTTTCGCCTCCTCTCGTACCCACTTCCTAGTCATTCGCCTCCTCATCCTTCTCCCCGGCTTCCTCGTTCTCATCCTCCTCATCCTCCTCCCCATTCCCCACATTATTCCTCACTATATGTTTCCTCATGTGCCGCGTCCTCCTCATTCCCATCAATATTCATCATTATCTTTTCTTCATTCTCTTCATTCGCCTCCTCATTCTCCGTCTCCTCCCCAGTCCCTGGGTTCCTCTCAGTATCCTCCCCGTCCTCCCCCCCCATGCATTATCATTGTTCTTCTCTTCATACATGTGTCCTTGCTGTTTATCTCTTTTTCTCTCTCTCTCTCTCTCTCTCTCTCTCCCCCTCTGTCGCATCCGGAATCCTTCGGAAAGCACCACAAAGGGATTCCATGTGAACGCCTCACAACAGGAACCCGATACATAAAAAAAATCCAGTGGAAAGCTTCTCGCCAGGATTCCTTTGGAGAACACCGCGGAGGGATTGTATTGGAAAGCCTCGCAAGCGGAACCCTTTGAAAACCACCACGGGGGGATTCGAGTGGGAGGCCTCTCAACAGGAATCTGTTGGAAAGCACCACAGAGGAATTCTATGGAAAAACCTCACAACAGGAGTCATTGGGAAAACTCCACAAAGGAACTCGATGGGAAAACCTCTCAATCGGAATCTTTTGGAAAACGCCACGCGGGGATGCGATGGTGAAGCCTCTCAACAGGATCCATTTGGAAAACACCCCAAAGGGCTTCTATTGGAAAACCTCATAACAAGGACCTTTTGGAAAGCATCACAGAGGGAGTCGATTGAAAAACCTCATAGGAGGAACCCTTCGGAAAATGCTACATATGGCTCCGATTGGAAAGCGTTACAAAGGGAATCCTTTGGAAAACCCCACAATGGGCTTCCCTTTGGAAACCTCACAACCAGAAGCGCTTCGGAAAGCGCAACAAACGGATTCCATGTGAAAACATCACAACAGGAACCCTTCGACAAAAACACCACAAAGAGTTCCATTGGAAAGCCTTTCAACAAGTTTCTTTTGGAAAACGCCACAGAGAGATTCGATGGGAAAGCCTCAAGATCGGAATCCTTTGGGAAGCACCGCAAACGGATTCTAGTCGAACGCCCCACAATCGGAAGCCGTTTGGAAAACACCACGGGGGGATTATATTGGAAAGCCGCACAACAGGATCCGTTCGGAAAGCACCACAAAGGGCTTCCATTGGAAAGCCTCACAATCGGAATCCGTTTGAAAGCACAACAGAAAAATTCGATTGTAAAGCCCCTCGGCAAGATTATTTTGAAAAGCGCCCCAAAAAGATTCGATCGGAAAGCCTCACAATCGGAATCCTTTGGAAAGCACCACAAAAGGATTCGATGGGAAAGCCTCACAACAGGATTCTTTTGGAAAGCACCACAAAGGAATTTTGATTGAAACGCCTCATAATCGGAACCTGTTGGAAAGCACCACAGATGGACTCTAGTGTAAAGACTCTCGAAAGGATTCGCTTCGAAAGCACCACAGGGGGATTCTGGCGGAAAGCCTCACATTCGGAACCCATCAGAAAGCACCACAGAAGGATTCGACGGAAAAGCCTCACAATCGGAATCCGTTGGTGAACACCCCAAAAAGGATTCGATTGGAAGGCCGCACAACAGAAACGCTTTGGAACGCGCCACGCATGGATTCTGGTGGAAAGCCTCACAGCAGGAATCCTTTGCGGGAGTAAAATGGGAACTCTCACAGCAGGAATCCTCTCTCTCTCTCTCTCTCTCTCCCTTTCTCTCTCTCTCTCTCTCTCCCTCTCT